TCTTATTGTGCCCTAAGGTTGAGTTTGTGTCTGTTATTCACACTTGACCTGCCTGTTACCCTCCTCTCCACGGGGGTCAGACAGCGCTCGGACATGAGCGTTGTCCCGCCTTGTTTGATACATGTCTATATGCCTAATCTGGTCTTCCCATCTGTCAGCCTGTCTGGCCCGATCACAGTCTTGATCTCGGCGCAGACTTCCAGTCGCATCCTCGTCTGCCCAGGTGGCTTTCAAACAGCTTACAGACCCCAACCAGTAAATAACAAGCTTTAATTTGTTTCCTTGTTTTCTTGTTCCTTCATCAGACTTTTTCAAGGATGTTATTAGCCGACCAACATATTCGTCATCTGTTTCATTATGGGAGGGTCACTGAGGTTATCTTGATAAAGCAGGATGTGTCATGCACCTCTTGTCACCACTTGTCCCCTGAAGTAGGGGGGGAGCCCGTGAGCAGAATGATGCATGTTCATTGGCTGCCATCACTTCCAGCTGAACAGTCAGGCATTACGAAGCAGGCAGGACGACCTCTGAGCCATACGCTGACAGTGTCCCTCTGTCCTTTGTCCTGTTGCATTATGCTTTTTGTCTTTTTGTTTTCTGGACCCTTTTTCTTTCACCGTTGGCTTTTTTCTCTGACTTTTATTCTGTTCTACCTTTGAAATAGTGACCCTTTATCTACTGAGTGAATTGAAATGGAAAGAAAACTGATTAACATACTGACAGGGCGAAAGCTCTTTTTTAAAAAAAGGTCTTGTATATAAATAGCACAATGAGAAGTCAGTGGAGCTATTTTGGATGCACCGCTGTCACTTGATGAACTGGAAGATATGACCAAAGGAAAATCACCAGGATCTAAAGCCCCCCCCCCCCCCCCCCCCCCCCATCACAGCTCTGTTTGTTTAGAGGACAGTCAGCTGTAATAAAACCTGATATAGAAGAAGTAAAAACATAATGTAGCAATCCTCCCATAGAGACACTAAAAAGCCACCTGGGTGGAGGAGGTGTGTGTGTGTGGTGTGTGTGTGAGAGTGTGTGTGAGAGAGAGTGAGACTGTGGATGCATTGCTGCCTAGGTAAAAGTGTCAGGATGATGATGAGACACACCTGCTTTCGTCCCTGTAGTCCTCACACTGAGCAGAACCAATTGTTCTGCAGAGGGCTCTCCATCTGGAGATCTGTCACAACATCCCAGCTCTGAGGGAACAGGAGGGGCCCCCTATAGGCCCCCCATCACCTTCCACACCCATGGAGCAGGCTAATTAAACGGGTGTCTACAAGCTTAAAAGACATACGCCACTTGTATAATATTTTTTTTAAATACTCTTTGTTTAATTTACAATGGTTGACATTTAAATATGTGAACATATGTTACATATAACCGGCCCTTCTGTAAGTTGGTGACTGATAAAAGCTAGTGAGTGTAGTGAAGAGTATAGTATAGGAAATATGAACAGTAGCCAGAAAACAGTATTTGGACCAAATAATCATACATCAAGGTCTTTTTAAATGGAAACCACCTTCATTCGAAAGTTTGCAGTAATATTAATCTGCTGTATAGGATAGATTTGCATTTGTGTTAGCTCATATTGTAAAATACACCATAATATTTGTTTAATATACAGTATTCTATATGATATTTTTAAAACCTCTATCCTCAACACACGTGAGTCTTATTATTTATTCATTTTTATGCAAATTGTCCTCCCATAATGGCAGAATATTGAACATATAGAGCATATTATTTGCTGTATAGTTTTACAATGATGGAAGTGGTCATGACCTCCACTAAATGTCTAATGTCTGTCCTGAGGGATGAGAAAGGGATTTCATGTTGACGGTCCGTTTAGTGGCTCCTCTGAAGCTTTTAATCCTATGCCACGATCTTCATCAGAAGATGGAGTTTGCACTATTGTTATCTATTTATTAGCTGACGTGGATATTTTTTAATCTGTTGAAGCTTTTTTCAAGCATTTCAGTATTCAAATTCAAAATGGAAATTCAAAGCTACACAAATTGTCAAACTGCCGATAAAATGTCTGTAACATGATTAAAACCTTCAGAGACTGTTTTGTCCACTGCTGTTTGCAAGGCTTAAGTTGAACTTGTAATTATGTGTTTGTAGTGCGTTGAAGGCTGCAGTGCTGTGAAATATAACTTAAAAAATCATAATTGCATAAAATGTATGTCTGTAATTAAGGATATTTTTAGTGCAATATTCTAACAGAGGAACATACTTTTACTCTAATACATTATCAGCAGTGAATTAAGTACTGTAATGAATGTTTTCTACAACTAGGTCTGAACATACAGTACACACACTGCTGGGATGAGGTAATCTTCTCTACTAATGACCTCTAAAATCCAGGGCAGGAGGCAGATTCTCTATTTTAGGCAAAACCTCGTAAAATATTCATAAACTTAATGAAGTCACTGCCTAATTTTTCTATTTAATTCTTTATTTCTGCACTGTACAATGCCTACACTGTTGTTTGCACTGAAGGGGTCACTTTGGGTACACATTGTGAGGGCATTACAGCCTGTTTGTGAGTTAGTCTTCCTCCAGAGGCAGTGAGAAGTGAATCTAACTTCAGTCTGCACAGACAGACAGGCTGTGTCTAATCCACTGGCCTGCATGGCTCTAACTCAAATCCTGAAGCATCACTGATGATAAATCATTCAGAGGCCAGCAGCAAGTGAGCAGTCATGCTTCAGCTCCTTCTGGTGTTCTGTCAAGTTTTAATATTTGTGCCGCAATGTTTATACTGCCCTTGGACTTTACAACCCAACAACGGTGGTTCCGTCTTTCTATTTTCATGCATGGCTCCGATAACACTGCAAGCCTGTGTTGCATCTAGTGCAATCTACAAAAGAGAAAGACAAATAGAAGTAAATGAAAAAAAGAATGTGTTATCATGTCTTTGTTTGTTTTCCTTGAAATGACACATCAAAATAAGACTATGGGCACGAACATGTTTTCAAATTCAACTTTGCTTTAAAAGTGATTTTGAAATAGGTATTTCAATGGAGTGATCGCCAATGATTTAAAAGTTGACGCCTGATTTTGGAAACTTATATTTGTTAAGTAGCCTTGTTTTGTTTTTAACTTTCACAATAGTTTAAAGAAGGCCCTGACTGTATGAAAGCCAAGCTACAGATTGCCTTGTCCCCTCCTTGAGCCCCACAGATACTCTCTACCTAAGCACTCCTCATTCTTAGAAACAGTATTAAAGCCCACAGAGCTGCATAAGCTGCTGCTGGATGTGTAAATGGAATCCCCTTGTAAAGCAACACTGGGATTACAGCTACAGGGATTCAGTGTTTGTGTCCTGGCTGTTAGTAAATACACACATGGGAGTGGACATTGTGCACAGGTCACAGTAGAGGACAGGGATTCAGTGGCACTAATTACCACTTACCTGGGAGCAGTCAGCATTATTCTATGGAACCATACGAAAGTATAAACATTAAGGCCCTATACCACAAAGTATGTCATGAATGAAAGGCAATACGATTATCAAATGATGTATACAGTATGTTTTGGAAATGTAAGCATTGCATTTTAAAGGATTAATAAGATTTATAGAAAATCGTTGTGTCAGTGGACAAATTAGGAAGCAAGTTCTAATTAATGGATGCTCATTAATTAGAACTTGTTTCCTAATTTGACTGTTTATTTGGTCTTAAGTGCCAACATCAGTGTGACTTAATGGACTTCAAACAGCTGCTGCCAGACGTAAACAGTGACTGGATGTGCTATCTTTGTAGCGTTGCTGTTGCTTCTTGTGATTGACTGAACCTGTTTTATCTTGTGCCTTTAACCAGTCCTCTCCATGACTAGAGAGACACGCTGCCTGTCAGTTTTATCTTCACAAAAAGTTGTCCATCTTCTCTTTAAGCAGCTTCATGCAGCTTTGAGTGCACTTCTGGCTATAGGGCCGCAACTCTATTGAGTGATTAATGGTTTTCTCAAATGTCCATCAATTGTAAAAAATGTCCAACACCGTTTCCCAAAACTCAAAAACCCAAAGATAATCGATTTGTATAAATATAGCCACATTTAAGATGGCAGCACCACACTTTTGGAACATTTGCTTGTAACATGATCCAAAAGATGAATCGAGTATGTTTTCCCCCTTTTGCAACCATGCATGCAAGAAGCAGATCAGCTTCACTGTGGCTTAATAATAGAAGACAAGTAGATGCTCCTTACTCTCCATCTGCAAGCTACCCGCTGACATTCAGCCCAATTATTCACACATGCTGGAATGCAACTACAGCCAACAGGAGAGGATGTCCTTTAAAAAGTAAAGGCAGCAAGAGGGAAGTTATGTCACTAAGGTCCTCCAGGCATCTTGATGTTTTCCCTCAGATATGCTGCAGTGCCTGCTGGCAGAGTGGATTGTTCTTCTGAGAAGGCTTGGTCATTGAATCATGTGGTATTTAATGGATGTGGTTACGTCAAGTTGTTGAGCCCACAAGCTATTCATCATCAGAAACATTCAAGAGTTTAAGACACACGCAGACTTCCCAATCAACTATCAATTAAAGCCTCAACTGAAATGTCACAGTATCAATGTAAGGTTACAGTTTAATGCTTCAAGGGGCATTTAGGTGACACAGTACATTTACATGCACACAGATACTAGGGGAAATATCTGGCCCTTTAGCAGCTAAATACTTACCGTGCTCACCAGCTAAAAGCAGCTGCAGACAGCTTCCTGCTGCAGCTGGAACCAACACTGATGCAGCTTTAAATGCCCTGATTACCGTCCACTTCCTGTCCTAACATGATTTCAGTAAGGGATTGGGTAAAGATTAAGAGAAACCTAGTAAACACAGCTATATTTCTGCAAAGAAAAATTGTTGGGGTGTTCACAATACTCCATGTGTGTGACTTTGAACAGGGGCAAATATGCTTGTTTAAAAAAAAATGTCTTCAATTACTTTGTTGACCAAAACTTCTGCGTGATTTCTAATGTCGGGTTTTTTTTTTCTTCTCAGGGTGACTCCGCAAGATGAAGACACATCCCCCTCAGGTGCTCCCGGGTGTTCAGATGGGCGTACAGGTGCTAGCGGGGGTGCTATGGCCATCTCCACCCTCTCGTTGCCCATGAGCCAGGGCAAACCTTCCCTGCGTCGCATCAAAGGCCGCATTCACCGCAGCAAGAGCCTGGACAGCATGGATCTGCTCGACTCCAATGTAAGGCCCACTGATCACATGATCACACCAACATGTACACTCATAGATGGACAGGGTGAACAGGCTGCCAACAACGATTATGAATTAGTATGCTGATTTTTTCTTAATTGTTTGATTAATCCTCCAAATTAAATTAAACAATTGTTTGATTCTCATAAACAATTCAAGTCGAAAGTAATTATTATTTTTTGTTTGTGTTGAACATATAAAATAACAAGAAGTCCAAAAACATATTTTCTGCTTATGGGTTAATTCAGATGTAACATTTACACAAGCAGCAGCGCTAATACGCACACACAAACACACAGGCGTGACCTTTGGTTATGCAATATTTCTTTGATTTTCAGATGAGCACAGTTTAACACATTCCATATGTCTCTCTCTATGACTGGTTTATTCTCATGAAAAGTATTAATCTGATAAATGATTGGGTAAGCTGCTTGGACCTTAAAACCCTTCCTAACTCTGGGATTGTCCAGTGAGCTGAGAACTGCGTTTGGCCCTCTCTTTCCTCCGCTCAACTCATGCGTACTTGTGCGTGTGTGCTTCTGTGAGTACCTGTGTGTGTGTGTGTGTGTGTGTGTGTGTGTGTGTGTGTGTGTGTGTGTGTGTGTGTGTGTGTGTGTGTGTGTGTGTGTGTGTGTGTGTGTGTGTGTGTGTGTGTGTGTGTGTGTGTGTGTGTGTGTGTGTGTGTGTGTGTGTGTGTGAGAGTAAATGATGTGGCTTTTGGGAAAGCAACCAACGGTTTATGATGTAAAAGCATGCCAACCTGCTACTAATGCATGCTTGGTAAGGCTGTTTTTTGTGTGGCATGGGACCACAGTGGACACACAGATACAGATACATCTCTCTCCTGAACATCACTATCCAATGTCTCTCTATCTCTCTCTTTCTATGTCCTCACTTTTACTTTCTTTGTCTCCACCCTCTGTAGATGTCTCCTTTAATAAATGTCCACATTGTGATCTTTCCTCGTCTGCCCCTGTCCTTCTTCTCCCTGTTGAGTGTGTGTGTGTGTGTGTGTGTGTGTGTGTGTGTGTGTGTGTGTGTGAGTGTGTGAGTGTGTGAGTGTGTGAGTGTGTGAGTGAGTGAGTGAGTGAGTGAGTGAGTACTCATCATGGGGTGTTATGGCTGGCCCTAATTGAGAGCAGCCTGGTGTGCCTTTGTGAGGAGTCATTATTCTTCTCCAGGAGTGCGACTCGTTATTAATATAGTTCACACAAGGTAACCCAAAATTGGTGACGGATGGAGGGTTGAATGAAGTTGCAGGGTGGTATGACACAGCAGAGAGATTTCCATTCAGAACACACACACACACACACACACACACACACACACACACACACACACACACACACACACACACACACACACACACACACACACACACACACACACACACACACACACACACACACACACACACACACACACACACACACACACACACAGGTTGATCGAGTCTTGTCACTTTAATGACTGCTGGGATGGAGTTTCCTGCTACTTTCTAATTTTGAAACGGAGGCGAAAGTATTTCATTGATTTTTAGAAATATCCTTGAGTGCTCTGGTCGGCAATTATTGGCAGTGAGTTTCTGGCCTGAATCCAAGCTGTTGTTTTTTACTTTTCAGACATGGTTGAAGTAATTAAGATCAAGTGGTTGTACTGGAGCTGTAGAGGCATGAAGGTTAGAAGTGACTTTACTGTTTTGTCATTCACAAAAACAAGACCTCATAGCAGTGGTGGTGCACTTTGAGTTGAGTGGGAGATGTGTTGTCCAACTACTGTTTATTAACCCTGGAAATGCTGGAAAAGGGGCTGAAACATTTATGGAAAATATCTAATACAATGTTGTGATTTCTGTTAGGTTTCATTTCTGTAAATTCAATTCAGACCTGTAACTGCGGTCTACATTCTTCGGTAGGTAGAGGAAGGAAACAAGCCTGTTCACAATGTATTCAAACATCAATCTGTTGGGGAAATTAAACAAGGCCTTCATTAACATTATTAGTAATACCTTTGCTTTTCTGACTAACATTAACTTAATATGATAAAGTTCATTTTATAACCGATACAATGATCACTAGTGAAATGAACCAGCAATAACTAACACTTGGTCCTACAACTTGTGAAGACCCCGTTGATTATGTAAGTTAAAAATACAATTGCAGTTGTTTAGCAGCCTAAAGAGAACCTTTGGAGTAAACCTCCTCTCACAGTAATCTCAGTGCATACACGTCATGTTATACGCTTTATAATATTCAGCTGAGGTCAAAGTTTGCATATAACCAAGCTCGCCTACGCGTCTCCTTTCCTCCATTATGAATATCAAGGATGCACTAAAAAAAGCCTCGGTATCCATTTCATCCCACTGAGCTCTCACTCTATGCAACATTATGGGATGCATGAAGCATGTTACCCAAATACATTAGCCTTCCTCTTACAATTCTGTGGACCATCATAAGATGTGCATGAGTTTAAGTCTGAAGCATGAATAATAGATGGGAGAAATGATCTACTTCATAATGCAGTATTTTCTTTCTTTCACTTGCAGCTATTTTTGTGTGAGGAAAAAAACAACCCTGTGAAGTCCGTGGAGAAGAGAATCTGAAATCTGTGGTTAAACTCACCTGGGATTTCAGCAATTATTTATTCAATACAAAGCGATGGCTCCTCTCTGTCTTCCAATGCAAAGTAGCTGCCAATGTTTACTTCACTGTGGGGGATTGATTCCTTACACTCATGTCAATGGGTAGATGTGTGTGTCGATGTATGTGTACGTGTGTCGCTGTATTGTGTGAGCTGATATTCTTTAGTCCTTGAAAGTACACACTGTTTTGGAGAAATCCATGAGGCGCCACTCTGGTTTGATTCCCGATAAATCCTGCTGCACTGTGGCTTTAATATTCCAATTAGGCTGTCAAAAAAAGTTGAAGAAGGGTCAGTACCTTTTAAAGACCTGGTTTATTTTTCCGAAAATCTATCAGATGAGCATGGTCTGATCTGCAACCTGTATGATTAGGTTTGGTTAAACACAGTAAAGTGAATCCTGTGTCCATTTTTGCAAATGTAAAGCATTTAACCAATAATACACTTTCCATTCGAAAACCTTTTTAACAACTTTCATGATCTATACGGCACACAATTAGGAGTTATTAAGGGTTACGAAAACATATCAAGTAAACACCACAATCATTTTATTTAGAATTGCAGAGTAATCACAGTGTTACATACAGAAGAAAACCTGCCCCTCTTGCAGCTTCATTAGAGGATATTAATTAGATCGGACTAACGCTTTTTGATTTGCTACACATCTAATAATTAAAACTGCCTTTAACAGTAAATCAAGTTACCCAAATCTCCCTTCAAAGGACTTCAGTCTGACTGGTTTTATCTCAAATAATCTGCATACCTGATCTCCATGATGGAGTGGTGTGTGGTTCACTGCAACTGACGTTAACCCCACTGCTGGAAACAGCTGCTCAGCTGGACAGAGTTCTCGCCCCAGTTTAGTCCGGTCATATAAGCAGATCACGCATGTTGGATGCTATTTTGGCACATTTCCCATATTTTAGCATAAGTTTGTACACAGGTGGGTTCATAACAGGCTACTCGAATACACCATGTACAGTAAGCATTTAGCAGAACTGTTTTACAGCATGCAGCACCCTATATGTTTATTGCATGTATAGTGAAATGATTTCTGTTCAGGGAATCTTATAGTGAAATACCAAATATTTATAAATCTGTCAGCCAATTATTTTATTCATTTGAATGGCATCTGTCGTGCCCTTTTTTCCAGACTTTTTGAGTGTACTGTTATACACGTCATCATGTACTCTGCTGAAGCTGCTGGGTACAGGCTAAATAAGGAAAACACTCAGACAGCGACTGACAGAGAGAGCCGAAAGGAGAGATTACAGAGCAGGATTGATGAATGTGAGGGAGGAGTGGAGGTTATGACACGGATGGCGCTATGAGAGATGAGAGAATGGTTTGACAAAAGGGTGCAGGATGTTCCCATTAGATGAATATATTTCCCCCGGATAGACAGGAGGCTCCGCAGACACCTTATAACTCATTCATCTCAGCCCTTGTTTTCAAGGCACAACAGGGCAAAATTGCATTTCACATACAAGTCATTTATCTTACCTGAGTTGAAACAGGCCACTGAAAAGCGTCTGTGGTTACATGTGCCTGCTATGGGCCTCTACTGTGCATGTGTGTGTCTTGCATGGGGAATGATGTGACAGTAACAGTGGTATTTTCTGAACAAATTATAGTAGCGCTTAGCTTCTGGGATCATCATACTCTTCGTCAGTATGGGAAATTAAATACAGACATCAGGCAAAAGTTGCTGAATGTGTACGTTTGTAATTCATGTGGCCACCAGCTTATTTGGAGGATAATAAGGCTTTCATATACAAACCCTGAGAAATTATAGATACTGGATGAAGAAGATAGTTACCCATTTTAATTCCTTTGAAGTCACATTAGGTCGTTTGATATAGTCAGACATAGTCGGTATGAATATTCTTGTTTCTGTTTCCTGTAAGGCTCACCTTTTAAAGCAGGCAGGTGTCTTGGCTGCAGAGTATTAATGTGTTCTGCACTACAGACACATTAGAGAGGCATGTGCTATGTCATACAGTATGTATGCTTTAAATATGAATTGAATATTCATGTTTTCACATCACTTCATTCTCACTGACACTTCTCTCTTTTTCTCACTCTAGGATTTTTATTTTTTGTTCAACACTGGTGTGTTATGGTATTTGGTGTTACAAATCTGCACATATGCTATAAATGATGTTATAAAGAAGGAGACATTTGGATTGTCTCAGCATAATAAATTATAAGATTATGCAACATTTAAAAAGATTGGTAACTTTTTATGTTAACCCAACAGCTGTTCCTAAGAACAGTTTGAAAGTACTTATTTATCACTTGGATATTTTGATTTTATACTACTATTACTGTATGTGTCCAACACATATTTT